TTTTTAACCTCAAGGCTTGGTTTTCTTATCAGTGAAATGAGTATGGTAGCTGTAAGGTGATGCAGTTGAGAGCATTAGAGAGAGAGAATGCAAGCTGCTGAGCAGAATTCCTGGTGCTCAGTAAGTGGTTGGTACTATTACTCAAATACAGCAGAAAAAGCAAACAAATGAAAAAGAACCTAACAAAACATAATGGAAACTATGTATTTACTCAAATAATTTTTCAGGGCTAAGGGAAATCTTGAGTTTCTAGCTGTTTGGCTACATTGTATTGGTGTAGTATCTCTGGCTATCTCATTACTCAGAATTGCTCACTGGCAGTTACATAGGACTTTGATTAGCACAACAGGGAGAAGAAAGCATTAACTGCGACCTTCGTGATAGGCCAAAAACCTTCAAAAATGAAATCTATGAGGGAAGGAATTCCAGAACAGTAGAAAGAATGCATAATTATAAATATTTTGAGAACTGTTGCACTGAAGTTTTCCTTTTTTATAGTTGAGAAATATATGGAGTTGTTTTAATAATTTTTTTCTTTTTTTGGTTGACAAGTGTATGAAGTTCGCTAGCTCTGTGGTGACTATTGAGACATGTTTTTATGTAGAACTGTATAAATATTTGCCTAATTTTCCCATTGCACACCTGTGGGTGCTACCTGTTCTGTACTATTTAATCCAACCATGTGCTTTGGTCTTTAATCACAGAAGTCCTATTTGGTGGATGGGAGCTCAGCATGTAAGTCTCACCAGCATTGAAAAACTGGCAGGTTGGCCTACAACTCTCTACTTATCTGAACAGCATAGGAGCAAGGAGTGGGAATGTGAACAGCTAAAGAGGAAGTTTTCTTCCCAGTTCTTAGCGTAATAAGGAAGGACATTTTCCTGTTTTAATTGAAACTACAAGTAATCTGTTTTCACCCTATGAGGAAATAATATAGAAGGTAAGAGCAGCGCTCCTGGAGCCAGGCTGCTTGAGTTCAAATCTCAGCTCTGTTTCTTAGTAGCTATTTGGCTATGGGAAAGTTCTTTAGCCCCCTCTGCCTCAGTTTCTCCATCCATAGAACAAAGGTAATTGTACATACAGAGTTTTTGTGAGAATTAAATGAGTGAACACATCCTTAAGCCAGCACTAGATACATGGTGAGCACTATATGAGTGACTGCTATCATTACTTCATCAGGATGTAATCACTGAATTTGTAACTTTAGGTACAAATCTGAAATTATTTAATCTAAACACATTCTTCTAAAGACAGATGACCTTAGGCAATGTGAGATGATTAAGAACAAATGGGGGCTGGGTGTGGTGGCTCACGCCTGTAATCCTAGCACTTTGGGAGACCAAGGTGGGCAGATCACCTGAGGTCAGCAGTTCAAGACCAGCCTGGCCAACATGGCAAAACCCAATCTCTACTAAAATTACCTGCTTATGGTGGTGAGTGCCTGTAATCCTGGCTACTTGGGAAACTGAGGCAGGAGAATCACTTTAACCTGGGAGGCAACAGTTGCAGTAAGCCAAGATTGCATCACTGCACTCTAGCCTAGGTGACGGAATGAGACTCCATTCAAAAAAAGAAAGAAAGAAAGAAAGAAAAAAGATTAGGTCCCATTTGCCAAAATAGACAAATGGGACCTAATCAAACTCCACAGCTTCTGCACAGCAAAAGAAACAATCATTAGAGTGAATCGCCAACCAATAGATTGGGAAAAAAATTTTGCAGTTTACCCATCTGACAAAGGGCTGATATCCAAAATTTACAAAGAACTAAAGCAGATTTACAAGAAAAAAACTAACAAGCCCATTCAAAAGTGGGCAAAGGATATGAACA